GTTCTATTATATCCTTAGTTGACTAGTCATCATCTTTGTGGTTGACTAGTCATCAGCTTTTTCTCCTGACCGATATGTCTTTTTCATTTCGTTTTGGCGATTATTTTTTTTTTCCTTTTTTGTTTTGAGCGGCTCTTTTTATTTTGGGTCATGTCCTTTGCGTTTTTTCCTTTTAGGTTTGTTTTCCCTCTATTTTGTCATCCTCCTTCTTTTCCTTTCAGTTTGTCCCTTTCAGATATGACACCAGAAAACTTTTTATCCCTTTCTCACACTGTTCTTGTCTGATCGCATCTTCTTCCATCTGTTTTCTCTTCCCAATTTCTTCCTGCTGCATGCTATGTCGTCTTCCGAATCTTTCCTCACTTACCAGCACCGCTCCAAATCAAAATCCAGTGACAGAGTGGATTTCATACCTTCCATTCCTAGGGCTCCTAGGACTCGCTCCTCTCCCTTTGTTCCTGTTGGAGACTCCTCTCCATTTGTGTCTTATGAGGTTGCCTCATTCTTTGATGATGTTGTCTCAAAAAGGAAGTTTGTGCCTGAGAGAACTTACCAATTTGATGCTCTCCCCTTAGTAGCCCAGGATTCTGCAACTCGGATTTTGGAGCACTACCACCTTCATTCTCTAAACTCTCTCTCTGGTAAGTTTAATGCTTTTGTCATTAAAGGGTTTTACTCCTAAGGAGTCGAATTATCAGATTATTGTTAGGTCAGTCCCTATTACTCTGAGACCATCTGTTATCAATCGGGTCTTAGGTTTTAGGTCGTGCCCTGGTTTTGATTCTGCGAAATTTGCTCTTGCTTCTTTTGATTACTCTGTTGATCTTTTTAAATCCATGGCCTATACTAATCAATCTATGCCCTTGACTTCTAAAGGTCTTCCTATCAAGTTTTATCTATCACCTTTTTACAAGTTTTTTTGGGACTTTATCTGTCATAATGTTCTCCCCACTGGAAACAATTCAAATCCCACTCTGGCTGCCTGTCAACTCATGATTTCAATGGTGAATCATGATAAAATTCCCTTTGGGGATATCCTTTATCATGCAATTCTTGGCAAGACCATAGGTCATGGTTCTAAACACAAGGGGACTCTTGTTTTCCCCTGTCTGATCCAGCGTCTCTATGAGAGAAACGGGGTGGTATTTCATGACTCTGATCAGTGGCATCCTTCCATTGCTCCGTATGGGAAGGCCTCTGCTGCCCTTAGCCAGAAGATTTCAAGAACCTTTCTCACCTCTATGTCGTCTTCCTCTGAAAATGCCTCTCTCAGATCTCAACTTGCTGCGAAGGAGAAGCATATTCAGCATCTTTTGAGCCTCATTCCGTCCTCTTCGACTCCTGCTGCTCCTGCTCCTACTACTGCTGCTGACGTAGATACTTAGTCGACTCTTGCCACTGAGGACTCCGATGCTTCTGTTGATTCTGTTGAATCTAGTGGTTCTTTAGTTTTTTAGCTACAGTGTTATTATAGGCAATGTCCTAGATAGGAGGAGTATTTCTGGATAGGTTGTGTGTAGATCTTTGTATTCACATTGTGGGTAGTCTGTGCATTTTGATAGGGGGAGTTGTTTTGTGCTGTTTTGAACAAGTGTTATTTGCCTTGTCCTCAATCGATGTTATGTGCTATTAACTTTGTTCAAATTTGCTTATCTTCTTTGTGGTTAATCCCCTTGTATGTTGTCTCTCTCTCTCTACCCTTTTTGCACTTTCCTTATCAACAAGGGGGAGAACACTCTCAACCCCACATTGCATATTGTTTTAAAAATTCTGTGATATAATATTCTTGTTTTTGTGCCTGGGAGATTGGTTGTTCTTGTAGGTACCTTTACTTCATCGTCTCCTTAGGTTTGGTTTTGGGTTGAGTGTTTTTAGAGAGTGTGTTGTCAAGGAAAACCAAAAAGGGGGAGATTGTTAATGTATGCATTTTGAGTTTTTCTTTTGGCTTCCCTTGACAACTTTGTAATAGAATTTGTATTGTTATTTATCAAGCTCAAGTTTAGATTAAGAAAAGCTTCTCTTGGTGTTCTTATCTAACTTATATCCTATGGAGGTTCAAGCAATTTGACAAAGGTAAGGTGTGCATTGCATATCATTGCATTAAACTGTTTTTATAAAATGATGACTAGTCATCTGTTTCTCGTATGCTTTGATTGGATTTCCAGCTGGATAACCAACTTCTTTGTCCCATTCTCCTTTCTCTCTCTGCTGCCAGGTGTGATTCTAACCTAAGGGAATTTCTGTCTGCAAAGGCTACGAAATTCCTCTTTGGGCAATCGTCTCTTTTGGGTGGAAGTTTTGGAAAGATTGGTTTTGCATCTTTCGCTTCTTCTTCCTCGAGAGAACTATCTTATTATCTTATTTCATCTATGAGTTTTTTCCAATTGATTTCTTTTTGAAAAACTGCATTTGAAACACAAATCTGCATCTAGCTACTTAAATCATTCTATCATTTATATCTAGGTCAGATTCAAGATTGATTTCTTCAAGAGTATGGTTTCTTGAAGAAATTGGTCATTCTCCTTTGAATCCAAATTTTGGTTTCAGTCTGTGTTGGAGCTTGCAAGCTAGTGCCATGAGATGAACGAGCTGGAGAAGAAGCTGTCATTGCCATGAAGAACTGAGCTTCAAGTTTTGCTAAGTTGGAGAAGAAGATTGCACGAAGGAGGTATAGCTCATATTCCTAAATACATCTAGGTGTTTCTTGAGCTTGGTTGTGTTTCCTTTGTAAGAATCTTTTTTCTACTTAGTGGAGTGCCTGGTCGGTTGATAACTCCCAGTTTTTCTCAATGGTGGGTTTCTGAGTGAACAAATTTTGTTTTGCATATCTGTAATTTTTATGGGTTTGTGTTCTTGGTGGTTGACTAGTCATCTTTATCTGCTGTTTGGCGTTTACTTGATAATGATGATTTCACACACTTTCACCATAGTTGTTGTTAGCACAGGGGATGCCTAGATTGACAGGTCCTTCTGAGTGCCTAGGTTGTCACTAGTAATCTTCTAGGGTTGCAGGTACTTTGTGGCATGCTCTGTGTGTTTTCTTGTAATTCATTCGTCACCTAAGTACCAATTTCACACTATGCCTTTAGAAAACATGTAGTAATTAGTGAAAGAAAATTAAACACACCATAATTTTTTAGTTATAATAATTTACTACAATAACATATGATAAGATATATGAGCTTGGAAAAAAAAAAACAAAAAAAAAATATATGAGTAACTTAGTACCACATAGAAAGAATTCGTTAAAACTTAGTATCACATATAATGAACAATATTAAAACTCAATAGTGAATAATAATACAACTCCATAATATATAACCAAAAACAAAAAAATACAACTCCATAATAAAATAATAAATAACATTAAACATATGCCTAAATATATGCCTCAATGACACATTCAGTGGCGTTCATAGCAACATCCTCATGATAACACCATTGCCCAAAGTCCGTCAAGCTTATTGACTCGTCATTCAAAAGGAAAAACAACGACAGATGACATAGGGAACAACCAAGAACTTTTCTATTGCTACAGCTATCCAAAAGCAGTCCAAACAGCTCCATAAATAAACATTGTGATCATTGTGATCGCAATGGTCGCGTAATTGCATATTGCAGCAATTAAAATTCCATTACAATTTTTGTAATCGAAACGAACATACAGAAGAAACTTGCCGATTCAAGGACGGAACCTACACCTCAAGCGGTCAAGGAAATCTTGCCAGGAATGAAAACCAAGGGTCCAATCGAGGTGCAAACTCATGCTGAAATTCCGGTTTCTCCGATAGTAACACACACACCTTCACACAGTAGTCACGTGGGTTTGTTCCACAAGTGGGCTCATCTTTCCCATCCACACATGCATCCCTGCAAGCCAACTCTTCAAGTGTCGCACAGCCTTCACAAAACCCAATTCAAGCTTTAGACTTTTCAGCCTAGACTTTCTTGAGTGGACTTACTACTGAACAATACAAACAATTGGCCACAGCCATGTCACTAGTCAACACCAATGGATCATCCTCTGGTAATAACCACGCATTTGCGAATGCAGCAGGTCTGTCCACCTTTACTGTCCCTATTCTGTTTCTAGCAAACCTTGGATTTTGGATAGTGAGGCTACATATCATATTACATCTAATTCTACACTTTTCACAAAAATTCAACCATCTCACACTCCCATTGTTAACTTACCCATTGGTTTTGATCCAGGAGGATCTACCAACAAAAATAAACATAATATAATATAATTATATTATATTATTAAATTACTTAAAACAAAATCATTTACTATTTTAGTTTAGTTAATTTTAGCAACCAAACCTTGTATAAATAAGTAATCAAGCAATTCTAATTGTCTTAAAATTCCTCTTGTTCCCTTATTCATATAAATTAGGAATTCATAGTTCTATTGACTAGAAGTTTTGGATCAAGTGGTATTAGAGCAACAGATTTCAGAGGGTGACGGTGGTTTATGGTCTCAACTCGCAACCAATGCAAAGCTTCTAGGGAAGAACTTTTAGGTCCTTTGCTCGTACATTGAAAGCTAAGGTCCAAGAGAGACATTATGACTGGATAAAACAAGCAGGATACATCTAGTGATGGCGATCGCATCACTAAGCTTGAGCAACAAGTTGAAAACTTGTCTGCATCAATCCTTAAACTCGTGGAGAGTTTGAAGTCTAGAAAACCTTCAGCCCATCAACTTCATATGAGCCTAATCAAAAGCTCAAGAAAAAGGTTGTTGAGGATAGCGAAGATGAAGATGACACACAAGCTGATCCAACGAAAAAGGAAGTTGAATTAGGTGACAATAAAAATTCGATTGATACCTTAAAGATTGATTTTAAGGTTGACATCCCTATATATAAAGGAGATGTTGATCCTGAAAAGCTAGATAACTGGATAGACACATTAGAAACTTATTTCACAGTTTATAAGTATTCTCATATGCAAAAGATAAAATTTGCGAGTTTGAAACTTTCAATCCATGCCCTTACATGGCGGAAGTCCTATCAGAGACGGTATGATGTCTTAGAATTAACTTGGAAGAACTTCAAGATACTTTTGAGAAAGCAATTCTATCCAGTTGGCCATGAAGATGAAAGATGGTATAACTGGCAACATTTCAGACAAAGATTTGGGCAGCCTGTACAAGAGTATACAACAGAGTTCTATAACCAAGCTATGGTTTTGGACATTGACGTTGACAACTACGATGTTTTCAGTATACCGGAGGTCTTGCCGACTACATACAGAAAGAACTAAAATTGTTCACCGTAGATACTATTGAAGAAGCTACTGTAAAGGCCATTGCCATTGAGGTGAGAAATAAAAGAACTGACAAAAAGGATGACAGATCAAAACCTATCAACAAAACTGACTGGCAGAAAAAGGGGAAGCAGAGCAAGGAAGGTCAGACACAAAAGGTCTACTGTGATCACTATCAAACCAGCATACATGCCAAAGACAAGTGCTGGATACTCCATCATGAGTTGTGGCCCAAGCGAGAGAAAAACAACGAGGGTAGAAATGACAGAAAAGCCACCTTGGTTGCACAACAGGCAGAAGAGCTTCCAGAATTGAAGCAACCTGATGTTACACTTACCCTTATGACAAGACCAGCAAATACTAAAGACACGTATAACCGTGAAGAGTTATTTCATGTGAACATTCAGGTGAAGCAAAGTGTTGTACAAGCTATCATTGACCCTGGAAGTCAGAAAAACCTGATTTCAAAGGCTTTGGTAAGAAAAATGGGTTTAGACACCACACCACATCCTAAGCCATACCCGCTAGGATGGATTCAGAAGGACGTTGACTTACAAATCACGAAGCAATGTACCTTCAAATTTGCTATCACCAATTGATATATCGATAAGGTGACATGTGAGGTAGTTCCTTTGGACGTTTGCCAGGTCATATTAGGCAGTCCATATTTATGGGACCGAGATGTCATTCACTATCAAAGGCTTCACAAGTATCGACTTGTGAAAGATGGAAAGGAGTTCCACATCAATGCTTGCAAGCCTCAAGCTACAGATAATTTACTTACAGATAACTTACTGACAGCTAACCAAGCCACAAGAGGTAAGTCAATTCATGTGGCCGATTTGTTTTGTTGATGATTCGACCGCAAGGTTAGAATTCTGGGGCTGTAACATTGTCTACTTTGTCTTTATCTCCTAAGAAATGATAAACATAGGGAAATTGCAAGAGAAGTTCAAGGACTTATTTCAAGATGTGCATGGTTTGCCACCACGGAGAGCTGTGGAGCATGAGATCCAGTTGGTAGGAGATTCACCTCTACTAAACTTGGGTTTGTATCGCACTTCTGTGACGGAATCTAACGAGATCAAGAAGCATATTCAGGGACTTCTTGAACAAGGAGTCATCAAACCTAGCTACTCACCATGTGGTTCACCAATGTTACTTGTGCCTAAGAAAGACGGAGGCTGGCGTATGTGTGTAGATTATAAGGCACTCAACAAAATAACCATCAAGAATCGGTATCCATTGCCGAGGATTGATGACCTGCTAGATCAACTACATGGTGCACGCTACGTCACTAATCTTGATAAAAAAAAAAATCTGGCTATCATCAAGTCTGCATCCATGAAGAAGATACTTGGAAGACTGCATTCAAAATAGAGCAAGGACTGTTTGAGTGGTTAGTCATGCCATTTGGGTTATGTAATGCTCCAGCTACCTTCATGCGATTGATGAATGAGGTACTCCGCCCTTTCATTGATGACTTCGTCATTGTATATTTGGATGACATTGATATTCAGTGGTACATGGGAGGACCATCTTCGTCATATTACTCAAGTTTTGGACGTTCTTCGAACAAATCAACTACAGTTAAATAGTAAGAAGTGTGAGTTTAGAAAACAACACCTTGTATACCTGAGATTCATTATTGCTACAAGAGAACTAAAAGTGGACCTAGAGAAAGTGCAGGTGATTTCTCAATGGCCTACTCCCCAAACAGTGACTGAAGTTCGGAGCTTTATAGGTGCATGTCAATATTTGCGAAAGCTTGTTCAACACTTTTCACAAATTGCAGCACCTTTACATTCTCTTACAAAGGCCAATCAAAGGTTTGAATGGTTGAGAAACCATGAGGAATCTTTCCAGTTGTTGAAAGGGAAGATTACAGAGGCCCCAGTATTAGCATTATTGAATTTGCAGAGACCATTTGAAGTGGAAGCAGATGCATCAAACTATGCTATGGGAGCTGTATTATTTCAAGATGGAAAACTAGTTACATACCATTTTGAGATGTTTAGTGGACCGGTATTGAACTATCCGACTTATGATAAGGAGTTGTATGTAATGCATCAAGCAGTGAAGCATTGGAGAGCTTACTTGTTGGGAAAAGAAGTCGTAGTTCACTCAGATCATAAACCTCTTCTGTTTTTAACTACACAGTCTAAGTTGCAACAAGCTCGCCATATGAAATGGATGTCTTTCCTACAACAATTCAATATTGTGATAAAGTACAAGAAAGGAACAACTAATAAGTTGGCAGATATGTTATTTAGACCACCTACACCAGTTAGTTCCGTATTGCTGGTCACTATGCAAATCCAACTCATTGTTCCTTCTGAATATGCCAAAGGGTATGACACAGATACTGATTTTAGCCTATGCCAAGCTACAACAAGGAAAGACTAGTGAGTTCTAATTGAAGGATAGACTAATGTACAAAGGAACACAATTGTGCATTCTGGAATATGGCGACAGATTGCAGTGGATTCGTGAGGCTCATACTTCCAAAGTAATAGGACATTTTGGAGTTGAGAAGACTTTATTGAATCTTTGTTGTTATGTGTATTGGCCAAAGATGCATCTCGATGTTTCACGATACATTCAAGGTTGTGTTCTATGCAACACGTCGAAGCCTTTCAATAGAAAGTTAGGACTATATCTTTCATTGCTAGTACCTAGCCAACCTTGGGAGAGTATCTCGATAGATTTCACAATTGGAACGTTCTCAGCAACGATATGAAGCTCGCCATGATAAGCATCATGTGCCATGTAACTTCAAAGAAGGTGACCTAGTATGGTTACACCTTGGAAAGGAACGGCTAACCGATGAAGGCAAGAAACTGAAGCCTATTCGTTATGGACCTTTCAAGATCATCAAACAAATTGGTGATAATGCCTTTCAACTTGAATTACCACCATACATGCATATGCACTCGATCATCAATGCCGAGAATCTTAAGCTTTTTGAGCCATCTCTACTTGATGATGATCTCGATGAAGACATCGTCTTCCATCAGTTAATGACTTGCAGATTGAATCAGAAGACCCTTTGCAGGAGGATTGTATATTGGAACAGAAGGTTCATGAGACTCGACATGGAAATTATTTCCGTATTGGTAGAAAAGGTCAACATCCTACCAAGTCGAAATGGTATATTTAAGACAAGGCAATAATAAAGTTTCCTCATCTCAATTTAGCTTGACCAGGAGGTCAAGCATCTTAAATGGGGGAGCCATGATCCAAGAGGATCTACCAACAAAATAAACATAATATAATATAATTATAATTAATTATATTATATTATATTATAAAATTATTTAAAACCATAAAAAGTTAATGGTTTCAAAATGAGTAAGATTTTAGGCCATTCATTCTTTATGGCTTCAAATCATTTACTATTTTAGTTTAGTTAATTTTAGCAACCGAACCTTGTATAAATACGTAAGTTATTCATTGAAATGAATCAAGCAATTCTGAAAGCAGAATTCAAAGCAGTTCCTTAGCTTCTTCCTTTTATTTCTCTAATTGTCTTAAAATTCCTCTCGTTCCTTTCAATAACACCATCACCTTAGATAACGTTTTGTGTGTTCTTTCCTTTCATTTGAATTTAATGTCAACTAGTAAAATTACAGACTCAATCAATTGTTGTGCTATCTTGTTTCCCACGTTTTGTGTCTTGCAGGACTTGGCTGCCAGGAAGATGATTGGTATGGGTAAACAATGTGGTGGTCTACATTACATGTCGCCTTTGCCAAGGAAACCTATTTCCTGTCAAGTTTCACAACCCTCCAATTTATGGCACCTTCATCTTGGACACCATTCACCTACTCGTTTTCATTTACTTTCTTCATTGCTTCCTTCAAAAATTGTTTATGTTGACAATAATTGTGGCATTTGTCCTATGGCCAAACAAACAAGTATTCCTTTTCCATTAAGTTCTATTTCATCATGTTCAACATTTGACTTATTGCATTGTGACATTTCGGGTCCGCATAAAATAGCCTTTCATTCGGGAGCTCATTTTTTCTTACGATTGTTGATGACTTTACTCGATGCACTTGGATTTTCTTGATGGTTCACAAATCTGAAGCACAAACTCTTCTAAAATATTTTTTTATTTTTGTCAAAATTGAATTCCATTTCAATGTTAAAGCCATTTGCACTGACAATGGTTCAGAATTTTTATCCATGAGAGAGTTTTTACAAACCAATGGGATTGAACATCATGCGTTCACACTCCACAACAAAATGGATTCGTTGAGTGCAAACATCGCCACATTCTCAATGTTGCCCGTGCTCTATGTTTCCAAGTCAATTTACCTCTCAATTTCTAGGGGGAGTGTGTTTTAACCGCTGTCTATCTCATAAATCGTTTGCCCACTTCATTATTGTCCAATTAGTCACCTTATGAGTTGCTCTATCACCGGCCACCAACCCTTGACCATCTTAGAGTTTTTGGGTGCCTTTGTTATGCTACTGTGACTCATCCCCTACAAAAATTCGATGCTCATGCCACACCCTATATTTTTGTTAGCTATCCCAAGGGAGAAAAGGGCTACAAACTTTTTGATTTGCATACCTCCAAATTTTTGTCAATCGAGATGTTCTATTCCATGAACATATTTTTCCTTACTCCACTATCCCACCTAATCTTGCTTCCTCCACTCATGTTCTTCCTAACCCAATTTTTGACATTCCTCAACCACTTTAGATAAACAACACCAATTTTGATGTACCCTATTATTGTCAATACAACAAAACCCTTCAACCAAACGTTCTTTACACATTACATGACATGACTAGTACCAAGTAGCAAAGCAAAGATACGATTAATCCGATTAGATACGACCCTGAAAGTGTAATCATATTTAGATAAAAAGGCAACCCGGTTCGCACCTAGCAATAAGCCAAACAAAATATCATTCCCCTGTCTAGTATTTTCTCCCCCATGACCAGACTGAAGAGAGCGAAATTCAATCCAAGAATCCTGCTATCCCAGGTCAACCTCCCATCACCATGACCTGACTGAAGAAACTAATTAGAAGAGAGAAGAAAAAATTCACCCTACGACAAGAAGAAGAAGAAAATTGGAGGAGAGAGTAGAAGAAAGAAAGAAAGAGAAAGATAAGAGAGAAGGAAAGAGAAAAGAGAAGAAATAGATACAACCTGTTCAAATGTGGGACAATGTAGTGGAGAATGTCGATGATGCAAACATCACTGTAAATTGATCGAAAATTCTACAGTGAACCTGGCACCAAGTCCCATTGACTGTTAGATTTCGTTAAAATTTCTTAGGTAAATCTGCACCAATAGAATAACCTGAAAACCTGCTCAACAGGTTGAAAAAAAATTCCCAACCCGTCAAAATCTAAGTCCCCCTCTTCACTTCATCTTTCTCTCGCTCTCTCTGACCTCAAACCCTCACTCACTCTCTCTCTCTCTCTCTCTCTCTCTCTCTATATATATATATATATATATATATATATATATCATCCAAATCCCTTTTCCTCTTCGTTTTCAGACTTAACGTCCACAATTCTCTCTCTTTCTCTCATCTCAGCCTCCTCCTCTCATGTAGGGCGTCAAGGATTTGGCCAAAATGACGTTCTTCATGAATGAGAGCTATGCAGGCCAAAGGCTTCCTCACCATCGCAACCCCAAAGAGTTTGTTCCATTGGACCATTTGGCAAGTCAATTTTATGTCTCTCTTCCATCAAGATTACTCTCTTTAATTTGCCCTTAATATGGATTATTATAATTGATATTGTATTTAACAAGTTGGTGGGTGCTGGTGTTGCATATCTTTGGGTGATGGAGAATCTGGGTCAAAGTTTTCGAGCCTGGTCACTAAATCTAATAGCTAGGATGCATCACTCATTGCTTCCAGTTCCTACCCTCAATGCTCCTTTGCTCATGCGACACTACTTCTCTGCCCCTAGTTTCCTTGTCTCTAACGCTCCCAGCAACCAGGAATTGGTGGAGCCGGTGACACCAGACTACGACGAGGAGAGAGTTGAGCAATGTTGACGGGTCATGGCGGTTGAACTTCGACGGTTTCTAGGTGTCCTCAGAGAGCACAAGGAGAAAAGACTTCCCTGTGGCCTCCATGACTGCCTGGGGTTTTTAGGTAATTTCGTATCTTCACGTTCATTGTTAAAGTGTTAGGATTTTGGCTCGTCAAATATGTCCTAGTTGGTTTAGGATTGTTTTAGGAAAATTAGAGGTTTACCAATTCTTGTCCTAGAGGGATTAGGAAAGAATTTCAGTTTTCCTGATTCAATTTAGGTTTGGATTTCTAGAAGTCTATTAGGATTTGGATAAGTGTAATTTCCTAATCCACTTAGGAATAGGAATTCAATCAGCCTTGGGACATGTAAGCCAACTCTATATCTATAAATAGGGTGCGGCAGGGCTTATTTTTACACCAGGAAAAATAGCAAGAGACAGCCAAGAGTTTTGAGATTAGTTCTAGGGTTGCAAAAGTTCTGTAATCTCTATTATTAATCAAAGGAGCAGTGATTAGGTAGAGAAATCACAACTAGACGTAGGCAAAAGTTCTGCCGAACCAGTATAATTCTTGTGTGTTTCTAAGTTTTCTAATATTTGCTAGTTTAGTCTATTGCCATTGGTTACATCAAAGAACAAGATCTAGTGTGAGGGTAATTTAACATAAACGAATGGTATATTTGTTGTGATGATCTTTCTTTTTTTTCTTTTTATGGTCTCAACTCAAATGCCAATATTCTGTTGCGTGCTTTGGTATCCCAGAATTTTTCTTGTTTTGGTAGCTCACTTTTTTTCTTTTTCTTTTTTGTTAATAAATTAAACAAGTTGGATTCATTTTTGTGGTGAGATATTAATTTTTCTTCTTCTTACATATGAATATATTTGCGATTCCAAAGGGTGTGGAGGATATAATTTGCCATATAAAAAAATGCAATCGAAAAGCTAAAAGTGGAGGTGAATTGGAAACATTTGTGGGAGAGTGCCGGAGATGAGCGGTTTATAGTTTATGGGTTTTTTAATGTGCTCTGTGTTATGCAAAGTGTCTTTAGGATTCTTGGGTTCCTTACTTGTGCTGCCCCTTGTATTGAATGATCTTCAAGTTTTGTGTGATTAGAATGGTTAAAAGCACTAAATTTTATTATTTTTATTTTTAGGTACTTCAATCATGGAAGAGAAGGAAAATTAAATGACAGTGGTCGTTTGGCAATTACCATTCAGACCACCGGCTTTCGCAAATTAGAATGACAATTACATATTCATTTCTTTTCAGAAAAAGAAAAAAGAAAAAAAAAGGAATGGCAACTACATAGTGCATGTTTGTCAATTGCCAACTGTAGGGGGTTTTTTCTTCCGGCAGCTGTGAATGGGCTGGGCTGCCGTAAAGGGCAGATTGATGAAAT